TCATCCTACCATTAATAACTTCCAAATTTCCAACCCCATTATGCGCCATACAGCCCCAAACCATCACATTTCCCCCACCATGCTTAATTGTTGACAAGATATTTTTCTGATCAAGAGCAGTACCTTTTTTCCTCCAAACAGTTAAAATGCTTTTTGGCCGAAATATTTCAAACTTACTCTCATCAGAAAAAATAACTTGCTTCCAAAACTCCATTGGCTTACTTCGATAGGTCAGAGCAAACTCAAGTCTCTTTTTCCTATTAACCTCGCTAATAAAAGGTTTCTTCCTTGGCCTCCTACCCCGAAGACCACTCATATGGAGAACATTTCTAATAGTTTGTGGCGTCACTGACTTGCCAGAAGTTGACGCAAAGTCGTTGGCTAAATTTCGAGCACTTTGAGTTGGATTTCTTAGGGCCATTTTAACAACATGCCTCCTTTCCCTGTCATTTACTTTGACTGGGCGACCAGATCGGGGTTTATTTTTCGTGGATCCTGTTTCTTCCACTTTTTTAATAATGGAACGAACTGTTGAAAAGCTCAATTTTAACTTTTTTCCAATATCCCGATAACTTTTTCCTAATTCACGGAGACATATTATCTTTTCTCGAGTGGAGCCTGGAATTTCACACTTCTTCGGACTCATACTTAATGAATAGAGAAATTCAAAATAACACTGAACGTAACTTAATACTCTAGTCTTAGTACAAGTTATGAATCGGTTTCAGTAAGTGACTATAAGGTTTTATTCTTCTTTTATCTGTAGTGGCAGTAATGCAATTCGAGTGTGCCAATATTTTTTTTGTAAAATAAAATGCGTTTTTTCTATGGAAATATTTTGTTAGCAATGACGGGAATTTTATATTTTGTGATTTAGTTTTCATTTGAAAATTGAGTGTAATATAGTTTAATTGGTAAAGTTAGAACTCTTCGTTGCGTAAATATTTGAAACTATATTGATGTGCCAATACTTTTTTTACCGACTGTATATATATATACAGTCGAACCTCGCTAACTCGAACCTCGATTTAACGAATTTTTCGATATCTCGAAGGAAAAAAAATTCCCTTCAAATTTCCTATACACTCAATGTTAAAAAAAAACATGATTTCACGAATTTTTTTTTTCTAATTCCTCGATAACTTGAATTTTTTTCCATAAATAGTGTAGATTTTTTTTCTAAAATTAAAAAAATATTCCAAAAAAAAAAAAAAAGTTTTAAGAATGGCTGACAAGGCATGGAATGATGTGTCTTCCTATACGATAATGAATAGCTTCAAGAAGTCTGGATTCATTAAAGATCACGAAAGTCGTCAAACAATCAATATCGTTAATTCTGTTGGTTCCTCGAAAACACCACAAAATTATGGGGGCTCTAACCGGGATTTTGTCGAATAAGACGAACTGTTGAACTGTGGTAATCAATCGTATGATCATTTGTGTTTCCAAGCTGTGTGGCCGATGAGGCTGAACTGTGAATTCGTGATTGAAAGAAACTGTGATGACTTCATGAGGCTTCCACAAAACCTGTGAGTAGAGCAGTGGCGTACGCAGAATTTTTTCAAGGGGGGTGTTCATAATTTCCTGAAGCTACTAAAAGAAATTCGAGTATGTAATAAAGAACTATTAGTTCCCTAATTTAGACAGTTTTGACTTTTTAGTTAGACAACATTGTTTAGTTAAATTTTGATTTGATTTTTTAAGTTTAAGAACATAATGTAATATCTTCTCGCATGTAATATCTTCTGAAAAAAGTCCAATGTCATATAGGTGGGAAGTAGCACTTTGAGGGCCACTTTCACATTCATCAGATTTTGTTATGCTAGAAACGTTTTCTTCAATTTCCAGATGATTCCAGAATCATCGCGTAAAGACCTCGCGAATGACAGCCAGTCTCGAAAACAATGCGACTGGCAGAACAGAAAGAAACCAGTCCACAACAGTATCACGTGAATTTGGTTTCAAAAGTACAACCCTATTATAGTAAATGTTTTTTTCAGTATTCTGAGAAATACCGTGGGAAAAAAGGTAGGCATAAGGCAAATGATATAGTCTTAAAAAATAATACCCGCATAATTTCTACTAAAAGTTTTATTTTTGCCATTTTGTCTGAGCTCAAGGGGGGTGTTCAAACCCCTAAACCCCTCCCTTGTGTACGCCACTGGAGTAGAGTATTTTATTTTTAAAATGGCCTTTCTTAGTAGAGCCAGAAAAATTTATTGGATTAATTTACTTTGTGAACTTGAACAGAATGCGCCAGAAAATGCCAAAGTACCACAATTAGTTGGGACGATTACAGAATCGGAAAATTATGATGAGGAACTAGTGAAAAATTTATTAACAGCATTAACTTTTGAAAGGGAGAATTCAGAAAAAGAAGAACGTGAATATAATTTTAAGAAACTAGAATTAGAAAGTAAAATAGCAACTAATTTACCTAAAGCGGAAACAGCGAATACAGAAATGCTAAGATTTCTTAATAAATACGAAAGCGGTTCAGATATTGCAATTTATTTGTCACTGTTTGAAAAACAAATAAGTAGATCTAAAATACCAAAAGAATTTTTTGGTTGGATTACTTCCTCTTGACATAGCTTATTTAATAGCACGTGAACCCGATCAATTTTCTAATGATTTTGATTATGTAAAGAAACGTTTATTAAACCGATTTAAGTTAACATCAGAACAACTAAAAAATAAATTTTGTAACGCAAAAAAAGAAGTTACAACATCGTGGAGAGACTTCGGAATCAAAATTATCACTTATTTCGAAGAATACTTAAAAACTATGGAAGTTATATCCTTTGATGAACTTAAAAATTTCATGATCGTTGACCAAAATTCCGAACGGAATTAGAGACAATATGTTAGATGAATTACCGATGATAAAAGATGTTTAAGAACTGATATCTTAATTAGATAACTATGAAACTGCGAGATCCCATATTAAAAGAGAAACGAGTAAATATTTGCGAGATTTCACATACAAACCAGATATAGTTAGGAATAATAAGAATACATCACGTCAATATTTCTCCAATAGAAATTCTAGAAATAATCATAATTCACCTCTCATTCATGCTTAAAACATTCAAAGAAATTATCAATTTTATGTTGGTAATTCTAATCATAATGCTAATCACTCTAATTATTTAAAGTGTTATAACTGCTTAAACTACGGCCACAAAAGTACTGAGTGTAAATACAAAAGAGAGGGTGTAAAATGCAGAATTTGTTCACAATTTGGACATACCGCTAAGAACTGTAACGCTAATTTAAATACCGAAACTAAAGTTTCTTATGTCACTAGTAGGACTGGGCGATATTAGAAATTATATATCGTGATGCATCGTCCAGTTTTGCATCGCGATATAGCGATGTATCGCGATATAGTATTTTTGAAGTTCATTTACTTGTAAGGCACAGAAAGTCAGATTTCTATCAAAACTTCATACTCAGGTTGATTTAAATCAATTTATAAATTTGAAGATATATATGTTTTGCTTAAGAAAGATATTAAATAAATTGACTACGATGTACAAATCTTACTTAAAATATTTATTGAAATGTTTATTTAGAAATTCATAATACGCGTAAAACAAAGTGTTAAAAACTTTTTTAAAGCGTTTTTTACAAATTAATATTTTCTTGTACTATTATGCATAAATAATTACATAATTGTTAAGTTCGATCGTAATGTTCAATTTCTAAATGAAACGTTAAAAATTATTTGTATGTTTAAAACAAAGTGCTAAATAAATTTTAGAAAAAAAAAAACCGCTTCTAAAACACTATTTTTTATTATTATCATTTCAGTTATTATAGTTCTATTATAGTTCATTTACGTCACACTAGAGCTGCACAATGGGCTATTGGCGACGGTCTGGGAAA